CTTGTAAACGTAAAGTAGGTTTTAACTTTCACACCAATTAACAATATTTACAGCCAATTGATAACATTTCCAGATCCCCATACAGTTTTTATATACATGGGAATGAATTTTAAATCATAGCCACTTTTTATTGTTTTGGTATTATAACATTATTTTCGTTCAATATTACATGTAGTCTGTGAGAAATTAATACCACCCATAACGTTGCATTCAACGTGTTGGTTTTTATGTGTTTCCTAATTAGGCCACAGGCGAAGCTTATTAGTATGTTCCTTGCATTCAGCCCCGTATTTTGGGGGTGTGGAGAGGGGTAAGCCCCCCTTCGCTCCACATCACTGAAGTCTCAGCCCCCCCTCTAAATGTGTATAGTTAATTCAACAAATGTTGGTACGATATTGAACACCAGTGGCGGTTTGATCTTGAATGTTCGCCAATTTAGCAAATACCCATAACCACATACAGCATCTCATCACATAGAGAGGGGGCGAGAGCTAGAGCAGAATACACGATAGGCAAAAGCGGATTGTGCCATTATCCGTTCTGTGAAGTGTTTAGCATTTATATTCTTGGTTCTTTCGATAAAATCACGTAGAAGGGAAACAATAAAATTATAAAATTATAAAATAATAAATATATAAAACAATATGATTTTAAAAATTCATTCCCATGTATATAAAAACTGTATGGGGATCTGGAAATGTTATGAATTGGCTGTAAATATTGTTTCATCTATTTTTTTATTTTATTGTTTCCCTTCTACGTGACTTTACCGAAAGAACCAAGACTATGAATCCCTGCAGTCACGAAAGCTTTAAATCAAAATTTGTTTAGCATTTGTTTAAAGTTTTTGTTTACATCGTCTGTATTGTGCCCCCTCTGAGTTTGTGTATGCCCCCTCCATTTAAACCAGGTCACACTACAGGGCCTACTTGCATTTACATGACAGAATCTGGACATTGTCACCCAAGGAGTACGATTCCCATCAACAATTGGGGGATAGCCCAGAAGATTACACGAGACTCCACAACTTAGAAGAATACACTTTTTTACGATTATTCACTGAAAACACAGCGCGCTGTCCATTTAGCATTCTTCTTTCTTATTCCTCAGTGGAACTGGTGATAAGCACGCTGGCATTGAGTGGGGTATACATGATAAAGTAGAGAAAGATTTAAAAAAATGAAATGAAATGAAAATATATGTAAACCACGGTACTTGCAATTGGACACACCTAAGGGAAAACCAAGACTTCAGCCAAGGCCTGGACATAAGTCAGTAGAATGTACCTTTAAGAACTGTGTGGCCTCTTTAACTTCAAAAGGAGAAAATGTGGCAGAATCAAGCACCAATTTCATACCGGGAAGTTAAATGGAGAGATAAACTTAAAAGCAAAAGCTTAAAAAATCAATGGCAGGCTTTTGGAAGTGGTTTTGAAGTTGCGATTGGTGGCACCGCCGCTGACGCTTTTCTCTGAATCCAGAGAAAATGTGCCTCTCTCAACAAAAAAAGGGTTCAAAAGTATCAATCGGTTCAGAAAATAGTTAGGAAGGTCAAAGGGCTCGTCTTCTGTAATGGATAATTGCAAGGTTCAAAATTGAAAGCAGCATATCATTGCTTGCGGTGCAAGCGCCGATGGCACACTTATTTTCTTCATTTCCTTTAAAATAGCTATCTTCATGGCACTTGGCTTTCTTTCGCAGGAGCAATGGGCTTTTTTTTACGAGGGGTTTCTTTTTTAATTTGTTTTGCCTCATTCTACGCGTTTGCACATATCCCTGCGCATGCCGGGACTCCGCTACTTTCATTGCTGGCACACGCGAGAGCGGTATTCCCAAACATTATTACGATCACGGTTAATCCCGTCTGTACTTTAAACAAAAAGGAAACCGTCGACCGCGTTCATCTGCTCAGAGGCGACGGCGGCGCGAGGCGCTGGCAGCGCAGATCGGCGGCGCGCAGGGCGGGCTTGGAGGAGCGAGCCTCCACGCTCGCTGCCGACGGGAGGCACAATTAGGCACCAGCTGTTTGCTGCCATTGATTGGGCGCTATCGGGGATCGATGGCGGGGCCGCGGCACTGCTCGGAGCCGGGGAGCGCGGCATTTACCAGGCCCAGCGGGGGCCCCTCTATCCCACTGCCCCGGCTACCAAACCCCCTCCGCCTCCCTCCTCTCCAAATCACAGAGGATAAAAGCTGTCTCAATAGCTCTGTTCCGCACTATTATTACGAGATTTTCTTGGGCAGCGGAGTAGGAGTGGTCGGTTTGTTTCGTTTTCATTTGATTTTTGTCGAAATATTTCAGTTTCAATTGCATATGTCAAACGCGAGCCTATTTTTGTCATCGTACTGTGAACTTTGTTGCCAAAAATATTATATCAGGACCAATACGTACGTATGATATGTCGATTCAGTTGTGTCGTTAAAGTAATAACCTTATTACGAAACAAGCATCACACTCAAACTGTCAAGCTTTAGACTAAATGGGGCAAATATAACAACTGATGCGATATTTAATTAAATGTATTAACAATTGCTGTATTATAAGTGTGCATGAGGACATATCTAGGAGCAAGATGGATTACAGCTAAATGAGACTGGAGGCAATGGTCAGAACATTGTACGTCCTTCACCCAGACAAGGGGAAAGGCTAATGTTTCTAAACAAGTGTCACTATTGGAATTAATAAGCACCAATAAAGCCCAGCAGGTCACCATGTATCGTGCAGAAATACTTTCTCATAGAATTTTACAAATTAGTTTAGACTTGAAATAGTGTGCCATAATTGTTCTTTTGATGTACATATTTGGTAATATTTACAAAGTACATCGTGATGAAAACCATAACTCGTGCTCGTACTATGTATCCAGAATGATAATAGTAAAAAGAATGAGCATAGTTTATTTCCAGTAATGGTTAGTAGTTCATCTCTTTCAAGTCAACGAGGGAAGTTTATGAACAAATTCAATCCCAAGGGTATGACCTCAGGAGAATTATGCAAAAAAAATGCAGCTTAAATGCATCTATGCCACAAGAAAAAAAAGCAGGGAGTAAGAGTGAGAAATCATATAATTGCACATGTAATAAAGAGGTATCGAGGCGTCTGTCACAAAGGTCATGCAACTAAAAAAAATTTTGGAAAAGGACATCTGCAGAATAGCTTGAGGCCAGGGGCTGCGCAGGCTGAGTTGGCGGGACCTGGGTCTGTCTTCATTACTGGGAATTAAAGTTAGGACGGTGCCTCATCGCCAAGCAGCCGTATGTGCTGCGGTGCGGTGGTGCGCGAGGTCGCTGGCCAGCATTCATGCCAACTGGTGCGGAAAAGAAATCCCCCTCTGTGATTGAGTTTTTATAGCAGAGTAATTGCCATAATATCCATTTCGCGAGAAATTAACTCGTTGGCGGTATTAAAATCCCACCCCTCCTCTGCTCTCCCTCGTTCCTTCCTTCACATTTTCATATGAGCGGTTAGGGAGGGGACGGGTGGTTTGCTGCAGTTATGGTCATTCCCATGTGGCTTTTTTAAGTCCTTGTTGTTGCGTAGCTGTGGGCATGGTATGCTGATAGGTGTGGGTGTGTAATCGCCAAGGGCGCCTTCAGAGGTTCTTCGTATTGTTGTGGTCATGTTAGACGAATGCAATGTGGCCGGGAGGTCCATCTTTCCCAGAGGTGCCCCAATTTTGACACATTTCCTACATGCCTCGAAAATAAATGTCAATGCACCAAGGAAAGTGCATGCAACAGTGTAACTTGCAATCGCGCGTCTCTCTCATAGACAACCTTCACGAATTTTTCCGTGAAAAAATTCTCCACCCTCTACCAATGTCATGTGAAAATCCTGCGAGTGGTCTTTTCGTACGTTTTAAAATAATTAGAAACGCGGTCGTGTGTTAAACTGGATGCACTGTGTTTACATCAGTGAATGAATGGGTTTATAGACAGTGCCTGGGTTTTTTTTTATTTTTGCACAAATGCCTCAGCTATGACGATGCATTACCATTAATTAAATACTCCCTTCACACAAGTGAAGCCGTCTGTCCATCTGGCATCGCTTTTGGAGAGTGGCTTTCTGGCACCAGCATGCATTAGTTAGAGCGGCCTCCACCCACTCTGCAGGACACTCCCAGTGGGACAGTTAATGCCCCCTTACATATATATAACAAAAATTGTGCCAAATGCATTACAATTTTTTTTCCAAAGGCGTTATTGCACAACCTTTACACCCCAACATATTGAAATTGTATCGCACATGTGTATAAGGGAGGCTACAATCTTTGCATTCTTGCAAATAATATATACATACACACACCAACCTCTTTTGTTATTTCTACTGAACACACTAACGTGTCACGGTTTGGTTAATAAATAATGTATCTTTTTCTTGTCCATTCAGTTTACAAATTTGATATTAATAAAATAAATTGATCCTGATGATTTTATACTCAAACTGATTTATTTACTTTATTTTTTTCGTCTCTTTCATTCTATTTATTCGGATAGTTCTATCAGCATTGTATCATGATGTAAAATCTGTTTTTCAAAACTCAGAGCAGTGCACTCCGTATGTCAGAGAATTACCTGTGGAAGATATTGTTCACAGAACTTCAGGAAAAACCTTCAAGTGGCATTCTCAATGATAGCGCAATATGGATGGCACATTCCCACAAGCTCTGCTATGAGATTGTCACACGGCAGTCAAGTCACTATGATTATATTAATTCTCAGAACGGGAATTTAGCCAAATGAAGTGCAAATCCAAATTGAATGTAATATATTTGGTTGTTTTTGTATTCGTTGGTGACTGGTCTGGTCCCATCAACTCACTACACTTGAGAACCCGGTTTAATCATAGGAGGCTGAACCCTAGGATCTCAGCAGTGCCAGGCTCAGTGCTGTGACCTCTGAGCCACCCGGCGACCCCAACTTGTCCTGTTTTCTAATAACACTACACAAACACACACAGCACAACGCTGGCATGGCTGAGCGAACGTTCTGTCTGAGCAGATTGCCACCCTGTTGGAAGATAAGTGATGAGACTGCTCCGCGTGTCGCGGCTCGTTGTGCCGAAGCTTCACGTGACAGCGCGGCCGGGACTCGGACAAGACAGATGACATCGTCGCGGGTATCGGGATCAGGAGGAGATGGTGCCGTCGGGCTTGATGCGTGAGCCGCCGGACGGCAGGACCACGGAGCCGTGACCCGTGACTGACGGTTGCCGCGTGGACCCGGTCTATCGTCCCGCGCCTCTCCAGCAAGATGGATGGAGCCTACGCTGCGCGGGACTGTTGAAGAAGGGGAGGAGGGATCATCAGCTTGTAAAATATGGATAAGGAAGAACGGAGAAGCAAGGGATTGCCAAATTGGAGAGATGGACTATTAGGAACGTGATTGAAACAGTACTGCGTGTATATACAAAGAAATGGATGATGAATCTGGCAGGCAGGATATATGAATCTGGATTTACAAAGTGCAAGTAGTGCACATAGTACAGGTTATGGCAGCAGTTCAATTGCAAGCACGGAGGTAATAAATTGCAGGCTTATAATATACTAAGATTGACAGTGATGGGGTACGTTACAAGCAACTTTGTCATGGGATGGAAATTAATAACACATTTAGTAATACAAAGCAGAGGTTAAAAAATAAAATACATAGCAAGGTAATAAACATAGTGAAAAATCCATACTTCGAATAAAAGTGCTCATTGACATGTTTAAGCCTGGAAAATTGCATGATCCCTCAATCCAATGGGTTACCACTCCTGGAAAATAAGCCTTATAATATAATTTACCCTCTCCACACCTGTTCAGCCTAAGGACTTTCACTGTTGTGTTCTAGTGCATTGGTCATCCAGTAAAATAGATCATTCCTCACCATGTATATTTGGAATTTTAAACACTATCCCCACAGCACTTGCAGAGAAGCACACCGCTCAATCCTCACAATTTCTTGAAGATAGCATTACTTCTCTGACCTAGCGCCACTACCCATATATATCTAGTACAGTGACCAAAAAAATCACTGCCTCACTACCCGCTGCGTCACACCCTGAAAGAAAGAAAGAAAAGGACAATGATGGCCGAGGTGACAGCGCGCGAGGGACGGCGCAGTGGACGTGGCTGTGCCGGGATGGAGAGGTTCCGTGACAGCGGAGTGCCAGGAGGGGCGGCGGGGAGACGAGACGCTCGGGTGCCGTTCGCGTGGCGCACCCTGGCCCCCCTCGCCCTCGCCCGGCCCCTGTGCCCGCTGTGCTGTCGTGCCTCTCATCAGTTCCACGTGAAATGGGCCAGCAAATTCTGTCTCGCTTGGCCAGGTTCCATTTACGCCCCTTGCCACTGGCATTTATTTTATGTTTTTTAATTTTTTTTTTCAACACATTAACATCATTTTTTATATATTCTTTGTGGAGAGGAGTATAGCTTGACATAAAAAAGAAGCTTTAGTTGACCTCTTTTTGTTTTTTTTTCATTGGAATAACCTTTCCAATGTGGAATGGTGTTACTTTTAATGATTTCAGTAATCGTCATCGTGTGCTTTGGGTTGTAGAAAGTAAATGTTGGGAATTCTAAAATAACAGTTTAAGAGTTTCATCGCCGCATCTCCACAGCATGTTACTAGTGGAGCAGAATTATTATCTTGGAGTGTCAAAAAGAAGAACACGTTGTTTTTGTCTGATTCAAATCTGACCTGCAGGTATAAATATAATATGAGAATAAAGAGTGACAACAATAAAAAAAACACCTCACAACAACCTAATATTTATGCTCATTGCTAAGCCCCATGCATATGTGTTTGTACTGGTAGAATACAACACAATATGAATACCGAACGAAACTGTTTTGGGAAATGGGGACCAAAGATATAAAAAAGGAAAATGAGAGCAGGATGGAGTGCTTTTTGGAAAATGGGGCTTTCATAATGACGAACAAAATACCAATTTTCTTAAAGAAGAAAGTTTTAAATCAGTGCATAATATCTATTACAACATATGGATCGATCGTTAGAAATAAAATAGAGTAAATACTGAACGGTGCACATGCGAAACGGATTACGCTGAACGGTAGAAATAGTAACAAATGGATTGGAGGAGAAGCACATCGTATTGGCCGTGAAGAAAGTTGGTGGGCTTGAGCACAACATATCGCTCGAAGGGTTGATGGCCGATGGACGAGACTGGTGATGGAATGGCAGCCAAAGGAGGGTACGTTTCCAAGAGGACGACTCCCATGGAGATGGAGTGATGAGATCAGCTCGTGTGCTGAAATGAGATGGATCGTGCCATGGCACAACCGTGATGAATGCTATTGGAATCTGTAGGTCTTCATCCAGCAGTGGTTATATCACGGGTAATGATAACGATGATGGCTCTGCATTAATACATGTTTTTTAGAGGTTAATACTAGTAGTAACAGCAAACAGCCCTTTGTCAATGCACTGCTGGATGAAGGCCTCCCCATGCTGAATTGGTTTAGGGGGTCATGTGACCGTACTTCATCACACTGGTCAGTGCGGGCTGGTGAAGAAGAGCAGTTCAGATCGGCATGGATATCACTCGCCACTCATGTTGGCTGTGGTTGGGAAATGAAATTGGGTCGCCAAGATCATAGCGCAGTGCACTAACCACTGCATCACCCTCTTTCCAAAATTATAAGTACAAAGTACGAAATAAAAAGTGTGGTTCCGTAAATACATCATATTGCACCTTTACAAAGCAAATTGACAGTTTTTTTTTAATTTTACATCTCATGTAAATACAATTTATAATAGCTGTGGTCTTCTTTTTTACAAGTTACTTATTAAGCAAGAAACCGCGAAGAGAATGCTGGATGTATTACGAATAAACACACATGCAATGTCTGCTGCGCTTTCCTGGCAGTAGCAAAAACAACAACAACAACAACAAAACACAAACGCACGCGCACACAAAACATGGCAGGAATAATAAGGCGACATTACCAAGCGGTTTACACTTCAAAGTGGTGTACATATCGCTCAATGTGTCCAACAAATTTACTGCCATAATATCACATCCTTAATCAAATATAAAGCGTGGGATCATGTAAACGCTCAGCCTTAATAAAATTGTCAGTCATCTCACAATCCCGTGTCATCACTGCAGCCAATGCACCACTTGAGTAAAATGACTCGGGATCAATTTAGCAAGGAGGAAAAAATTATTCGGTACAATTCCGTGAATTAAGGGGAATCTCTGCCATCTCTCGGCTCGTGGCCTTAGTTTATATTAGACCTTGTTATTGCAAATTAATTTGGACGTTTTTCCCCCCAAATCTTCCCATCATTCTCACATTTGCTGCTGTTTAATCCACGATATATTACATATTATCCACTGCGGGGTCTAGGGTTGAGTTGTTTTGTGGTGCTTCCAGGCTGTTGTGTTTACAACAACGTATTTTTTTTACATTTCAGTGACTTTACTGGCTCACTTGTATTGTGCTTTGTTTTTTTTTGTAGTATTGGTAATGTATAGTTTTTTTTTGTAGTATTGGTAATGTATAGTATGCCTATATCTTGTGATGTAAAAAACTGCAGTGCAAATTTAACCCTAATTGCTGTTTACACAAGTGTAAAATTCATTAAGCCTAAAGAAATCGAATTCCTAATTTTCGTAATTAGAAGTCATTTAGATTATGTCTAAATGGATTGTAATGAACACTAATGGGATTGCATGGCAAGGCATGGGCTGTATTTCAACCCTTAGGCTAAGGAGCATTGCTGGAGAGCTCCACACAGCTTTAGTTATAGATTCGCCGGAGACGGCAGCGGCAAATTCTATGTGCGTTCGCATATGCGGAATTGTTTGCATGTTATTAGTGGCTTGGGTTTCAGAACCACCTAAAGATACGATCTGCAGTCATGCTGTCTGAGCTGCTGCTACTGTTGCTACTGCTGCTGTGTTCTTCTGAAGCCCTCAAGAGCTTCCTGCATGCGGAGCCATCCACGCACGCGTGTGCAAGTGAGCCACCCACCCACGTGTGTGCAACTGAGCCACCCACCCACGCGTGTGCCACTGAGCCACCCACCCACGTGTGTGCCACTGAGCCACCCACCCACGTGTGTGCCAGTAAGCCACCCACCCACGTGTGTGCAACTGAGCCACCCACCCACGTGTGTGCCACTGAGCCACCCACCCACGTGTGTGCAACTGAGCCACCCACCCACGTGTGTGCCAGTAAGCCACCCACCCACGTGTGTGCAGGTGAGCCACCCACCCACGTGTGTGCAAGTGAGGCACCCACCCACGTGTGTGCAGCTGAGCCACCCACCCACGTGTGTGCAGCTGAGCCACCCACCCACGTGTGTGCCACTGAGCCACCCACCCACGTGTGTGCAACTGAGCCACCCACCCACGTGTGTGCCAGTAAGCCACCCACCCACGTGTGTGCAGGTGAGCCACCCACCCACGTGTGTGCCACTGAGCCACCCACCCACGTGTGTGCCAGTAAGCCACCCACCCACGTGTGTGCCAGTAAGCCACCCACCCACGCGTGTGCCACTGAGCCACCCACCCACGTGTGTGCAGCTGAGCCACTTACCCACGTGTGTGCCAGTGAGCCACCCACCCACGTGTGTGCAAGTACTAATCGTAGCTTACTTTATTTGCATTTCACACCTTACTAAAGACAATTGTGCTGGGAACAGGATAATCTGGGTGATAGATAAAAAAAGACCGAGTACTATTTTATTTCTACACAACTGCATGTTCTCTCTCTCTCTCTCGCTACAGTACCACTAACAGTCGATTTGCAAGTAGGTCGTGTGTGGTGGGGTAAAATGTGGGTACTCACACTTTCTTCTAAGGTATGTGGCCGTTGTGGAATAGGCCGAAATTCCTACGAAAGGGGCAGTCTGGAGCCCCGTCTGGTGCAGGCCCCTTCTGCCAGCAGTGCCATGAGCAAGCGATTGCAGGCCTGCATCTTTAACCTTCACCTAACAATTAGCTGTGATATACGTCACTGTAGCGACGTGAATGTGCGTCTGCTTTCAGTCTTGGCACTCACCACTGCCTCAAGATCACGAATGGAGAGGAGCACTGAACACGTTGACTTTCGACTTTGACTTCACATTGCATTAAAACCGCTCACGTGCCTCTTAGTTTACACAATAATAAGAGAGTTTGGTACAAATGATACAGAATTTTGATTGGCTCTTACTGTAAGGAAAATAAGAACTGGGCATTTAAGTTGGTTTGCTTTCCATCAGTAACATCAACACAAGCTACCTCTCTGCGGAAAACAATTATTCGTGTATTTATACTTAACCTGTTTATTAAGTTTCTGTTGGCACACGAACATACATGCATACGTACTTAAATCACTT